AAAAAAAATAAAAAAAAAATGCACATGCCTTTCAAAGACAGAGAGCAGGCCTACCTCTGTTTCTGCCATCAGGGTCCACTGGGTATGAGGAAGCAATTCAGGTATGTGTGTTTGTGTGTTTGAACTCTCCTCAAACGAAAGCCCAAAGTCTAAATATGGGGTGATACTGGGGCGACTGGGTGGCTCAGTAGGTTAAGCTTCCGACTTCGGCGTCGGGCTCTGTGCTGACAGCTCAGAGCCTGGAGCCTGCTTCGGATTCTGTGTCTCCCTCTCTCTCTGCCCCTCCCCTGCTCACGCTCTGTCTCTCTCTGTCTCAAAAGTAAATAAAACATCAAAAAAATTTAAGAAAAAATATGGGGTGATATTGAGAAGCCTAACTGTAGAGGGCCACAGATCTAAGTCACATTCTCCAATACAACAAAACCGCCAGCATTAAAACTGTTACTTTGATCCCCATCTGACTTTTTTGCCTCTCTCTCAATGGGCACCAAACTCTAAGGACAGAAAAGTAGAATTATCACTCCTTATACCCCAACAATGATGGAGTCCAAACCAAACTCTAAGTCAATATGCCCATTTCATCAATGAGAAAACTACAAGCCATTGATTAAGGGATTCGAATTCTTCCTGCCTAAACCTCAAGGCTATCCTCTATTACATGGTACTACCTCTCATCATTAATTGATGATCCTCACAAATATAGATCATTAATTAATCACTGTCTCTTCACCCAGAAATTCAAACACAGCAAATCAGACACTGCAAGTCCATGTGAACATTTTTCATATCTTCGGTCAAATATCCCAATAAGCCCTTTCCCTACCTTAGGCTTAAAGAATTCGGGCATTGAGAAACCACTTTTCGTACCGACAATGAATATTTTGAATATAGCAGAAAACAAGTAATCATTAAGTGCATTGTATCTTGAAAATAACGGAGTAAAAATAGCCACAATGACCTTCCTAACTCCTGATAAATCCTCATTTATTATTTATTAATAATTGACTTATTAAGTCACTTATTTCTTATTAACACCTGATTTATTGTTAAAACACAGTTATCTCAGAAGAGACTGGTGAACGAACACAAGCCATCAACTCCTGTGCATTATGTCTTTCGAGAACTTTCACTGAAAAACGGTTTCATTTAACTTCCAAGCTAGGTTTAGTTGAAATGCAAACCATGAATGTAACACAGCTTACAAAAATCTTTGCATTTTTTCTGTAGTGAAATAAGTCCTCATGGACTAAAAAAGGCACATTAAGATACTGAATGGGTAGAAAAGAAAGCAAACTACTATGTACAACCCCGGTGCACTGTTGTCTATAAACATCAGAGTACTAGATTCTGAAGTAAATTAGAATTCGGGGAAGTGCATTTAGGGAAAGCACAACACACACAGGCAAACTGAACATTAGTGATGCACCTCCACACCCGAACCCTTAACAAGCCTATGCTTAATTGGAAGAATTCTTAAAAAGTGCTCAACGCTCGACAAACTAACCACATTTGGAAACAGTAAAATGAGCTTTCTAATTCCCTACATTATGTTGTGTATGCCTTTTGCATATTTTTCATGGCTTGATTTAGAAAACAAAAACATCTGTCTTCACAAAGTTAAGCAAGTCCAAGCCTCAGCATTTAACTTTTTTAAGTTCATAGTGACAAAGGGGGTTTGAAAAAAAAAAATTACCTTCTAATAGCATGACGATAAGAGGTCAGCCTCTTCTTGAAAAACACAGCTTAAAAAAAGTCCTAATACATTGCTTCCATCAAGAAGAAGGCTGGTGTTATGAGACAGAATTATTCATAATCACATATATATTAAATTTATAGCAAATAGATTCCACTTCAGAGCAGCAATATAAATGGACTTCAGTGATTCTACGTCCAGATTCTAATTTATGACAAACCCTAAATCAAGTCTTCCAAAACAAAATCTCACTTCAATATTTTTATACCTTCGTTCTAGTTACCATGCTACAATTCATATTTATTTTATGATTCTAACTCCTATCATAATCTCTCACCTACGAGACCTTCACATTTCCATTATTCCTGATGTTAAGGACTATATTACGAAACTTTTGTATTTATTAAGTATTATTTTCCAAATTACCACATCAAGAACTCAAAAATTTTCATATTTTAAAAATAAAAAGAACATAATCATTCCTCATACAGCCACCCTTCAAGGATGAATTGAAATTGCTTCTCTGAATAATGACAATAAAATATAACAATTCTATAATAGATCACTACCTTTGCTCTGAAGTGAAGGTGATAAAAGACAAAGAAAGACATTTTGGACATGTCTCATATTTGGTACTATCTCTTGATTGATTACACCAGCTTACTAAAGAAAGTAAAATGTGCAATGTATTTTCTGATTAATCTAGCCAATCTACCCTCGGATTCTCATGCCAGAAAATTACGTCAAAACATAAACATTAATTTACTAATAATGGTACGTATTTCATTCTAGTGTATCCTCTTTCGACTGGAACATTATACATACCTTTTCCATATGTATTTTTCCAGTGATGAAGCAAGTATGCAATCATATCATCTTTGACTGACAGGCTGCACATAATTAATACCTGCCCTTTATGGCTGTCATCAATTCTATTCAGATAGTATGGGCTTTTCTAGACTTCTTGGAATTTTGGCCTATACCTAATATTTTTACTTTCATTAGAAATTAAATATAGTTTCTTTTTCCATTCCAGTAAGCAGTCTGTTCTACCTTTTTCCTGTCGAACTGAGGAGGCCTCGAAATGAGAACCAATTACATTTCCTAATAACTGGGCACAACTATGAATAAGAATAAAGGAAACGTGTTTTATTCTCCACTGGTCCTACCAGTTATTTCAATTAATACTCAAAAATACACACAAATTTTAGTTAGAGTTTAACTCTCTGGTAGTCATTTTAGTGTTAGCATTTTATTCCTTTGTATCAAACTAACAAATTATAGCTAATGGCTTGTGAAGTCCTTCTGTAATTAAAAAAAGAGGATCGTGGCAATGTACATTTCCAGTTTATATTTAAAACATAATGATTTTAAAAAGTGGAGCCTCAAAAATCACTAGAACTATTTTTTTTTAATGTTTATTTATTATTGAGAGACAGAGAGGGAGCATGGGAGGGGCCAAGAGAGGGGGAGACAGAATCTAAAGCAGGCTCCAGGCTCTG